TGTGTGCGCTCTCCGTGCCGGGTCACCCTGCCCGCCCCAGGGCTGCCCTCCCTTCTCCCGCACCGCTGGCAAGAGAGCGCTGGGCCGCCCTCCAAAAGGCGAGGGGGCCCGGGCTGGGCTTTGCGTCCTTAGGAGGGAAATTTGGCTTTTCTTTTTTTCTTTTTTTTTTCTCTTTTTTTTTTTTGTCACCTAAACTCCTCGACAAAGCAGTGTTGGCAGCTTTTCATTGCCACTCGGGTTTTCAATCGGGTTTTGCTTTTGAATCCAGTACATGATGTCTTTAGCAAACAAACCCAAATAAATGTTTCTTGCATCACCTCCGTGTTCTCCCTCCTCCCGTGCCTGCACTCCCTTGGCAGTCTGTGTGCTCAGCTGTGAGCACCTTGGCCCCGCTGTGTCCTTCCCTTCGGAGTTCAGTGTCCGGACCAGAACCTGCTTAAGCAAACAGGGCCACCATTCTCAAGAATTTTCAAGGTTTTTACAGGGAGTTCTTTTAAGCTACATTTAATCATGTTTGTAAGACAGATGAGTATTTTAATCCCCATTTCACAGGGGAGAAACCAAGGCAGGAAGATGCAGAGTAGCTTGCTGCATAGCTGGGGACTGACATGACACCACTTCTGCCTGAGCTTTTGGCCACAGGCGCTGTCTCTGGGCTATTTTTCCTCTTGAGTTCACTTAAATTATACCTTGAGAACACTTCCAGCTTACAGTGGTGGCAGGTTCTCTGCTGTGGGTAACCTGTCCTATGTCCTGCCCAGAGGCAACACGGGAGGCAATTGCAAGTGAAATCCCTGGCTAGTTTGCAACTGGTGGTTAGGGCAAGAGATAGTATTCATCGCTGAGCTGGAGATTCATGGAAAAATCAGACCCTCAAAGAGTATTTTCAGGAGAAATGTGTTCTGCTGCTCCTATTGGACAAGCAAATGATGATTCTTTGTTGTTAGAGACAGTGCTTGTCTTCTCCCTTGTCTGTCCCCCCCCACCCCTTGCCTTGTTCTTCCTTTGTCTGGCTTTTAGACTTGGGACTCTGACTTGCTAAAGAACTGAGTTGCTGTTATCTTAAACACATCAGCATGAATATGATCCTACAGGTGTCACAAGCTTAAATTAGTGTACCAAGTCTGACCAGTCAGGACTACGCAACTTCTGAAGCTAGATCTGAGCCTCTACTTGTTCTGCTCAGCTGTCCCTTGAAGTCTGTCCTGCAGGCCTCTGGGACACATGGCATCTAGATCCTTCTTTGCTACTCATTGTCTGAAAGCCTCAGATCGTGATCAGCAGTCATCAGGAGAAAGTGTCAGATACTGGCCCTTCCTCACAAGATGCCTTAGGAAGAAGGAGCCATCATAGTTGCTGCTGGTGCCAAAGGGAGTTCTAGGTCACTCATCTTTTCACAAGGACCTGAGTAAGTTCAAAATAGATGCTCCAGCCTGAAAGTTGAAATCAGACCATAGCAAACCCCCTGCAGCCTGCAGGAAAGGTTCCTTCTGCTAGAAGTAGTCAAACTTCCTCCCACCCGTGAGTGAAAATCCAGCCCCCTCACCACACCTATGTGCACAGGAATATAATAAGTGCCCTTCAAGCACAACTGTCTCAACAAGAAAGACTCAATGAGGTGTCAAAGAGGAGACAGGTCCTCAGGGATGTGTATCATATGGTGGCAGCTGATCTTCCCCTGAACACAAAACCAGTCATCCCAAAGTCAGTTTGGGTCAAAGGACAAAACCAAGAACTGAAAGTCTGGCCCCTTGGGGTTATTTCCAGGGCCATCTGAAAAAGCAGCCAAAGAGGCAGCTGCGAGCTGGGGACTCTCCTCAGCCTGTTCCCCTCCAGCGAGCACAGCTAAGGGCCAAAGGGCTGCCTTGAGCACAGTTCAGTGTCGTTCCAGCAGGCTGCCCCCTGGCCAGGTAAAAAATGCAATCCTAAGGGCTTTGAAAAGGCAGCATACCAAGCTGTTTATCCCAGGCAGACCACTTCATCTTTTTTTGTCTGTTTTTCCATCAGTAAAAAGGAAGTGCTTACCCACTCAGTAAAGCACTTTGGGAAAAATACTGTGGATGATTGCTAGTAGGAGGCACAGAGTAATCTTCTCAAACCTGCAAATGAGGGAAATTCTTTAAAACTTTTCAGTGAGATTTAAAACACCACATCAATATGCACATAGGGAAAAAAACCCCCACACCATCTTCACTGCAGAATTTAGATACTTTTAAAATTTCACCTAAAAGGAGTCCTGCAGGATATAGATCCTCTTTAAATGACTATATGTGTATAGCTGAACAGGGAAGATTATTGAGGTTTTCTTCTCTCTAAAACTCCGCTGTATTTTCAGGAGGACACCTATTTTTAAACATCCTCTAGTTTTACTCTTGAAACCTCGTTCAGAAACTGGTTTTCTGTAATGGCTCACAGATATTTTATGTATAAATATATACACATACACACATTAGGCTCTCAAGAAACCACGATACATTAGGTAGTCTTGAATAATTCATTGTTAAGCACCCCATGATAAATCTCTAGTTGAACAGTATGTGATTTTGATAGAATTCTTGGGATAAATTGAATGTGAAGCACTGTGGTAAATTTAACTATGCTGAGCGTCAAATGTGAAAACTTTACATTGTACATTACATCCTGACATGCAACTGAGAATCATTATTATTAAGGCTTCGGGGAATTTTCAAGGGAACTTCTGAAGTTCTGAAAAGAAAAAGAACAAGACTGAGTGCTGTTCTCTATAGAAGTTGAGATTTTCTCAGAGAAGGGAAATTCCATAAGTAGTCTGTATTGAATTAACATAAAGGTTTCACTAAAAGAACTGCTGTCTATTAGCTTATGCTCTGAGGCTTCTCATTGAGCACTACATATAAAAGTCAGAGGATCTTGGCTTACCTGGTACCAGCGTGTGCTTAGAGCTTTTCTAGGGCTTGCCACTCCTGCAGCGGGGCTGGAGAGATAGGGCAGCAACTGCTGATGTGAGGAGAGGTCATTTTCCCCTTTTCTGTAGCAGTAGCTGTCACCCCAGATACTCACAGCTCTCCCTTGTCAGCAGCAGCCAGACGCTTTCCTGGAGCTAGGCAAAGGCAACAGCACAGGGACCTGGTCATGCACCGCTCCTCACAGCCTGCAGCTCCAAACAAGAAGCTGGTCTTCGTTGGGACATTTTGCATGGCAACATCCTTCATCTCCCCCCTTCTCAGGATGTCCTGAGGATGGATTGCTTTTCATTGTCCCACAAGTGGGCTCAGTTCTTTCTGATTTGGAGAAACTGGCATTAAATAATGCAAACTGTTCCATCAAAGAATTTTGGCACAATCTTCCTTTTTATTTATGCATATACACTGCAACTCTGTGTGGTGGTACCTGGTACTGGTAGTCATGTGGCCAGGAAAAGGTACAAATCTGTCCAGCTTCAGGTTAATCACCTGATATAGGGCACAGTTCACTGACAGAGCTTCACCTTTTTTCCAGGTATTATTAACCAAACATTTCAATGAACTTCAACATCACTGATACCATATCTACTTATTTATACCATGTTCATCTTAATTATATCAGAGCATCTCAGACAAGAATACCTGTGTTTAAGAGGCCATGCTAAAATCTCTTTTGGTGACTTTTTGTCCTTCTCCCTCTTTGGAAGAGTCCCAGCTGCTGGGGTACTTCCCCAGGGGTAATCACAGGACAGCTCATGGAGGCAGGGGAAGAAATCCTAATTTAACCCTACTTTTACCACCACCACCACAGCCTCACATCAGCCTTCTTTCCTCCCAGCACATGAGGCCTCATGTGACTGGTCACAGGACAGAGATCAGGCAAGAGACCAGCCACAGAGCAAAGGAGCCAAAGAGAAGAACACCTTCTGACAGAGTCCCTGTGAGCTGTCCTTCAGTACTGCCAGCCCTGGTGACACCAGTGCCGGGCCCACACCTCATGCAGCATCCTCCCTGCAGAGACATCTGCACAGGCCAAGAGACAGGGAGGCACCCGCAGCACTTCCCTGGCTGGCCTCACTTCCTGTCTGGCCAAGCCATTTATGATGGCATGCCAAAGTCTAAGGAGGAAAACAAAAAATTATTAAAATTGTACTGGTTGAACCACTTTTTGTCCAAGAGGAAGCCCCAGTGGTGGGCAGATGGTATGGCCCTGCTGCTGACCTGCCCTTAGCAGGATAAGGAGCAGGCTGGACCACTGGCAAGGTGTGAATGCCTCGTACTCAGCACACCACACATCCAGCAGGGTTTTGTGGGATGTGACATGAAGCGCTTATAGGAGGGAGATAATTGCCACACAGAATTATGAGCTCTGGAATGGAGGATTTGGGAGAAGGCAAAGGCTCATCTGAAGTGCATGGTATGATATCATTTGGGTTATATAAAGGGCTGGGCCAGCACAGACTCCCCACCTCCTCCCAGAGATGGAGCTCACCCAAGGCCCTGAGCAGAGTCTTGTGTCCAAACATGAGGCAAGTTTGAGCTTGGGCCGGTGCTCTGAAGTTAGTGTAGATGTACCCATGAAAAGCAAGTCCCAGAGCTTTTGGCTTTCCATTGTTGCTTCTGTCTTCTCATAAAGAGCTGCTTCTCTATAGGTCACCAGGCTCTGCCCTTTCACAGCCCTTTTACTCCCTTTCACCCTGGTATTTTTGCTTCTTAGTTAGACAGGTTTCTGAACTTTTTCATGAAGTTGCTCATATTTTCCACTGCATCTCCTTTCTACCTCGCCCCACCAGTTCACTCTGATCTTTCTTTCTCAGTAGCTCTGGGTTCTGAACTGTTCATTTAAATATGGTGTGGCTTGCCAGCATTTTTTCCTAAGCCTTTTATTTTATCAGTTAAAGAAACAGGAGACATATGAGGCACTTAACACAAGTGCACCTTGCCAAGATGCCTCCAGTGGTATGCTTTTTCTCTAGGTTTGACCACAAACATTTTAACATATCTGAATGATTAAAAAGCATTCCAACCCATGCTTTCTTCCCCAAGTATTTTTGCCATTCAGTGGCCCTCTAGTATTGTTTGCCACAGACATGTGTGGGAGAGTTCTTTTAAATATCACTTTTTGAGCATGTTAAGTTAGCTTAGCAGCTCAAAGGTTGCAGGGTTAAAAGGAAATAAGCAAAACAGAGTTATTTTTTGTGGAAATGTTTTTCCTTGCCTCCTTCCCAGTACAGATATGAAGAGAAGAAATCCACAAAGGAGAAAATAATCCCCATTCTATTGAAAATTCTCAAATATATTAAAATTTATTTGATGACTGGAATGTTTACTTTGTAGGCATATTGCAGATCACTAGGTACAGATCAACAACAAATCTTCAAGTTCCTTTAGCCTTTATGTTCCTCAGAACTGTGAAGTGGCATTCAAATAGTACACAGAATATTTGCAGCAGTGCATCACAAACCACACAGCTCACCTTTGTAAGACATGCTCTATCATTTAAAGATGTTCAGTCATCCTTAAATTCAAATGGCTACAACAATAATTAAACATATGGCTTTGCTTTGAATTATTGTGGTTCTATGTAATTTCCCTGTTTACAGGGTCTTCTGAAAAACAATTTTCTCTAGTTGTGGCCAGTGATTTTATAAATCTTTTTCGTGTAAGGCTAAGAAGGTCAAGCTCCAGTGCTGAGGAGTGTAGAAAATTTTAAAAACACACTGTAGGAAACAAATGCAAGTTGAAAACACAGCACTTGGAATCTTGCAGCTGTCCCAAAATTTCACAAGGCCAACACTGTAAAAGCCATGGATCTCATTATCCAAAAGTCCTATCACAGCAGTATGACTGCATCCTTTACCCATTTTCACACACGGATAAACAATTACCCACGTAGCGTACAAGACAGAGGAAAGACAGATGAAGGAGAACTACAGTGATATGAATAAGAAGCATGGGTCAAGGCTGGCTTCTCACTGCAGTAAGGACAGAAATAATTGGGGCTTGGTTTTTCATGGATTAGCTGATGGCAGCTGATGGCTGCAACACCCACTCCTGTTTGCCCCTGACCCGAGCTGTTGCTCCAGTCTGGCTTGGCAGCCTCCACATCGACTTCTTCAGCTCCAGCTGCACATTGCACCCCTTCCAGAAAGCTGTGCCATGGCTTCATCACATTCCAGTTGAAGCTCCTTTTCATCAAAAAGGAGTAAGACATTTCACAACTGACTCTATCTTCTGTTTAAACACTTGAAAGGCAACATCAAAACATGTTCTAGGGTGCAGCAGCAGGTCTCAAAGCTGTTTGTCTGTTGGCTTAAAAAGTGGTACAACAGAAACAGCACACTATTTCCTTCAGAGGTGAATCATTCCCCAGCCTTGTCTTTATAGCAAGTGGTAAGGCCTTTTTTAAGTCACAAAAATGTGGTTTATATATTATTTTGACCAAACTGTGGAACAACCATTCTGGTGAATTAAATGTGAGTACATTTGTGGAAAGTAGAATCTGACACTGATGCACTGTTAAGCTTGCAGATAAGCTCATGGAAACACAAGAAAAAGCAGAAGTTAAGATATTGAATACTCCAGTGGCTTAAATTGTTAAGGTTCCTTCAAAATACTTAGATTATATTATTGCCATATAAATGCTACAGGAGGAGCCGCCAGTCAGCCCATAAACCCCAAAAATGGTGTGCACTCACTTCTTAAAAATACTGGGTTTTTCTACATGTCCAGAAGAAATCCAGTTTGGAGGCCAGGCCAGTTGAGATAAAGAAAACCAAGCCACATGAGGCAGATGCTGGACACAGATAGGAGACAAGCCTGTGAAGAACAGCTCAGCTCCCCAAAGGCTTCAGGCACCAGAGTGCAGTGAGGGGGAAGAGTGCACAGCACAGCTGTGAGTCCCTCTAAGGAGAGGCATTTCCTTTGTGGAGTAATTTTTCCTGTGCCTATCTTCAGGAAAGAATTTGTGTGTCTGTTAAATCCCACTAATGCACTCTCAGAAAACCAGAGCATGTGCTTAAGGGGTTCTTGTATCAAGTTTTACAGGCATCATTTCAGCATGTGTACTATCTCCTTGGCTTAGGGGGACCATGCATTCCTGGAGTCCCTGATGATCTTACTGTAGCCTCCACAGTAAACTCAAATGAAAAAGGAAAGTGAATTTTACTAAATCAAGAAAGTTCAAAATTGAAACATTACTGAACTGCTCCTCCCCCACCTAAAGTTCCATTTTGGGGTATCTGATTCTGTGAACAGCTTGCACAATGAGGCACCGAGGTCAATGGGGCTAACAAACCACAGGTTGTGCTTTCTGTTGAGTCAGAGGCTTTGCTGGCAAACATTCAAAACCAATTCTGCAATGATCCACCATGCATGTTCTTATTATCAAGACAGTAGTGCCATTCTGGTGTAATGTTTTAGAGATCTTTCTCTGCTAAAAAAACATATCGGTGCATTACTTTTTGTTGTCTCTTAAACAGAAATACACAAAGCTGTAAAAACACTTCTAATTATGTTTAAAAACCAATCACATTAAAACCAAAGCTGATGCCAAGAACATATTATTCACACAAACCAAGAGATGCAGAAACACTTCACTCCAATGCTAGGGACTGCAGGATAAAGTAAACAGGATAATTCAGTCTGGTTTATGGAGGCCAAAGTCATGGCACCTACCTTTGTATCTCCCCTTTTTGTCCCACAGGCTGCATGCAAACTTTTTAATATACCCTTTCCACTACACATTCTTTTTAACTTCTTCATTCTCTACTCCAATTCCCAGAGCCTGTCTTCCTGCTGTGTTTTGTCTCTTTATGCAGTTGTTCTCCACACTACCTCTCTCCCAGTTTCAAAGCACCTTTTTCCTACCCAGACTGTGTGAGGAGACACTGTGTTCCATCTTTTTTTTTTCTCAATCTGGATGTATCTTGAGAAGTTGCAGGTTAGGAAAGGAAGGATTGAAGCTTCCTTCACTCATTTCTCTATCATCCTCCCTCTGGGCTGACCATTTGGTGGATACCTGTTAAGCATCTCCCAGTAGAAGCACAGAGAAGTCATGGAAATACAAATAGTGGCTTCTTGTTTTCAAATCTGGGGCCTGCTGCCCTGCTCTGTTACTACTGAGGCCAAACCATTCCTTGATATTGTGGAGTTGGTTGAATGCAGTGACAAAAAGTGATCAAAAGGTGATTCTGGAAGCTTACTGCAGAACCCCAGTCCCCTTGCCCTGTAAAACACACGTGGATCAGTCTGAGAGATAAGAAGTACCGAGTGTGACCTGAACACTGAGCTCCAGAAACACAAGAGGCATGCCAGTGCACATTTCTTACCTAGGCAAGCAAGGCTTTGCAGTGAAGTGAAACATTGAATAAAGGATTATCTATATTTGTGGGCAAAGTCCTCTAGCTAAATCTGAACCACAGATCTTCACATCTGAAAATAAAACCATTATCTAGATTTTCCTCCCGTGGTGCAGATAATGTAGCAATGCTGCCAGAGACTTCTATTCCATATCACTGCCTTCTGCTGTATATTCTGCTGCTTTCCTGCTTCCAGGGGAAGAGTAGACTGTTAACAACAGCTCCTTTCTCCTTAGGCAAAAAGATGGCTTCAGTTACAGCACTTCTGTAGAGTGGGTAGGAGCCACCACCTTCTGTCACTGTGACAGCACAGCACCTCACCTCTGTGCACTCACACACATGCTTGACGAAACCAGGAGAGCAGCAAATCCAGGTCTTTTCTCCAAGGGATGGCAAGCCAGGAACTGAGCTGACCCCACAGCCTTCCCCTCAGCCTCAAAGGAGCCAAGCAGGATGGGCTCAGAGATAGCAACTGAGAGTCCAGACCATAAGGGAAAAGCATGCTGGCAGGGCAGATTCAAGATCAAACCAGGAAGGCAGAACCAGGAAGCCAGTTCGTAAGTCAGGTCCAGTGACGGTAGGGCCATGATGATGAGACAGTGCCCAGTTTAGGCTGGGAAACCAGTCCAGACAATGAGTTCCAGAGAAAAGGTCTCCATAGCAAGCCCTAGAAAGGCTGATACCCCCAACAGCTCAAGCAGAGGCTGACAGTCCTCAGCTGAACTAAAAAGGGCTCTGCTCCCTTTTAAAGTGGTTGGGTGGAGGTCTCAGCTGGGGCTGGCCAGGTTTATTGAGAACTGTTAAGTGTTTTTGGGACTCTGATGGAGAGAATGAGCAAAAGAAACTGCAAAACATACACACACATATATACATATATATTTATACACACACGACCTATATGTCACTATGTTAATTCTCTGTTTCTTAAGCCCCTTCTCCATTTCCAAACATCTGGCTTCTGATTTTAGAACCTCCAAGGCTTGGAATAGACCTTAACTCTAAAAATCTATCTGATGTCACAAAGGAAGCAAAAGATTAGGAAGTTAAAGAAAGACACAGATGCAATAAAAGGATTGCAAGTACTTTAAGGCAAAAGTTTCAAGCTCCAGATAATACGGCCTGCATTCCAATTTGCATCCAGGCTACTTTAAAATCTATTCAAGGGCTTCCTAGTTTGCTTGTCTACAAATCATTATAAACCTGGAAAGAATTGTTCTTGCACTTCCAACATCCTTCCACATCCTTTCTTTTTTTTTTTTTAATTTGCTTTACTGATTTGTACTTTTACCACTACCTGTTGTGCTCACTTTTAGACTGTTTTCCCCAAATTGATTCTCCCTTTGATCTTTCCGTTCCATAAGGATAATAACTTCTCCAAGATCCTCTCTATTTTTTATGGTCTTTAGTGGCACCTGTACTCCTTCCTAAGTTAAAAATCAACTGAAAAATTAGTGCTGCTTGCCTTGTCTCTGCTCTCTAGTAGATACTAGTGAGTATCTGGCACATCAGTCAGGTTATTCCAAGCAGTGTGCAGATAGACTTGAATGCAAACACACACAGGGCTGGGCTTGCAAGTGCTGGATTTCCTGGAACAAGATTATATTCTAATTATCCTGCAGTAAGACATTTCAGGGCTGTTGAAAAAAAGTGTACAAAATATGAAACAATGATTCTTATTAATATCTTTACCTCATGTCTCAGCCTAATTTGGTTTTCTCTGTGTTTACAGTCTGATTTTATTTGATAATTATTCCTGGCCAAATTGTCTGAAACAATTTTTAAAACATTTAGTTTTGCAAATGTTCCCATACAAATGCAAATCCCTTAATAGAGTTCAGTTATTATGTTTATTCTTCCTTCTTCATTGCAAGTTTGTGTAATTAGGTTTTAATTTAGTTTATGTTGGAATTTTTGAATATTTAAAATCCTGTCCATGTGCTACCATTACCTCAAATGGACCATGTTGAAGTCAGATGGATTTCCAGGCTGTGGATAAATGTCTTCTTCTTGTGATATTTTTCCAGCTGTGATTATGTGCGTCCGAGTTCCACCTGAAGTGCACAGCTCCTTCTGTGCCAGCAGAAGGGGTTGTGTGGACACTCCTTGAGCTGCTCCACTGCACATGGGCTAGTTCAGAGTGCCTTCTTCAGTGGTTTGAGATAACTGAGCTCATTCTGTAACGAAGCAAATGGTGTATGTAAACACATTTCCACCTGCTGGCTGATCAGTGGGAATGGAGACCTCTGTGCTTGAACAGTCACCAGTCCCTCTCACAGGCACTATCTGCTACCAGCAGAGACAGCCCCACAGTAAACACGTGCTTATGACCTGCCTTAGCTAAAACCTGGAAAACAAGGATGCTGCAAAAGATACATTACCTTTGGAAAGAGATGGGGGATGACCAAGAATGGTGCATGGTACTGCAGTGCAGTGCAGGACACCACGAGTGACTACACGGGCCATTTCCCACTGGCTTGTTCTGGAAAATGCAGGTGTGGAGCCAGCACACAGCAAACCCTCCCAGACTGCACAGATGACTCAACAGAATGTCAAAGCCATTTCTGTGGAAGACTTATTCAAGAATGATTCATGACCACCGTCAGGAGGAGATTATCTAGGGAGAGGACAAGGACAGTTTCAGCTTCTCAAATTGCTTCAGAGAAAATGTGTCTGATTCACACGAAACTCTGGCCACCACAACTGTCCATCATGCCCTGATCTCTAAAGACTGGCAGCTGCTTACCTGATGGAGGAGGTCTGAAATATTTTAGAAACTACAGAGCAGCCCATAAGGCTGGAACCAACAGTTTCACACAAGGAAGATTTGGGCAGGGACTGCAGCTACCTGCATCTAGGAACACTCTCACATGCTGGAGAGATGCAGTGAGGGCTCCTCTTCTCACCTAATGAGCGTGTTCTTATCAGAAGAGGAGCCTCACATCTGAGAGAGTAAAGATGAGAACAGTGAAAAGAGAAAACCAAACTTGATAGAAAGAGCATTACACGTGCACATTTGAGTCCAGGCAGCTTCTTGCACCCTTTTCCATCTCTGTAATTATGGAGGGGCTGCCAGGATCTAGCCTTCAATAAAAGGCATCTGTTCCTGAAGTGAAAACCAGCACTTAGTTGCTAACAGCACACAGTAACTCTACACATCAGTACAGAGCAGGAAATGAAAAACGCCTTTTCTAACTATGTTATAATGGCAATTTTAGGTAGATGGAACATTAGCAGCAGATGCCAAGCTGGAAGCTGGCCACACCATTGGCTTTTCAGCAGCAGCTTTGGTCTTTGGAAGCTTTTCACAGGCTGACAATGCTTCAGAAGAGACTACTTTTGTCTGGGATTACAAAAATCAATTGTATCACTTGTACATAGCATGAATGGTTACCATGTGGACAGCCTCTTCAACCAACTGGCATTTATTCTAGGTTATCACATCAAGAGTGCCACAGGAAGCTTTCTCCACCTTTGTGGTGCAGTTTGTCAGAAGATGATTTCCATTTTTAAACTCAGTTTTTCTCATTCAAAGAAGAATAGATTATTTTTCTCCCAATGGGCAAAATTAGTTTCCTCAGGAAAGGTTTGTGTGGAAAAGTGGTAAAGTGTCTTTTAAGGCATTTCAAGGCTTATGCACAACACTCATGTCACTGTAGTGGTGCACCTCTTGTCTTTTAAATTTCTATAAAATGGGTCTTGAGCTCTAACTACCTTTCAATCCTTCTTTCAGTGCAGAAAACTGTACCAGGTGGTAGGAATGATAGTTCTGCCAATGTCAAGCCTCCCTGCCATTGGTAAATCCTTTTCAATCAAAACAGATGCATTTCATACATGAATATCACCCAAGGTACACCAGAGCACAGGGGCAGGTTTCCCAGCTCAGCCCACGTATCTTCACTACAGTCTTTTGGAATAGCAGAGACAAACCAAAATGTCCTGAAAACCATCTGGTTTCACTCTGGGGGAGTTGTCTGACTTGCTAATATGAAGTTAGCAGAGCACCTTATATATCCTTTTAACTTCTCAGAGGATGACATGAGGATTAAGACTCGGGCATCCTCACCACTAGTCGATGCTTGGTTGCTGCCTTCAGCCTATTTGCTTCTCTTTTCAAAGTACTCTTGGGACCACTGGCTGACACAAATCAAAGAAGCTTTCAGACTCCACCTTCAGTTAGGAAACTTGTTTTGTCCACTTCTGGCCTAAGATTTAGGTTATGGGTATGGTTTAAAAAACATCTCCCTTTTCAACTTCCCCCACCACCACCCCCCAGCCCAGTTATGCCATGTATCTAATGCAGAGACTTGGGACACACTACTTAGCAACTCTGTAGTGAATCAAACATGTTACACAATGATTTGATTAAAGGAGTCATTCCTTTTCAACTGAGACACCGTTATGTCATGGATCTGCACAAAACACTTTCCAAAAGATCTTTCGTCCAGCAGTCCAGAGCAGCTGTTAATATTTAAGGAGCACCAGAAGTTAGTAAGTGTCTCTGAAATACCTATGGGATTTAAATGTTCTCTGTGAGGTCTACTTGATAGACTCATTGTAATTTTGACTGGGCCATAGGACTGATTCATCTGCCCCTTGAGTATTTCCTAGTGCACAGCAAAGAAAAGGTAGCAAAAATATATTTCCATACATATGCATGGCACACATTTACCTTATGTAACATGTATTTCCATGTGTACTGACATATAAAAATGTGCTCAGAATACATTTCACACTGTAAAGTTCACCCCTTAGCAGTTGGGAAACACCATAAGAAATGTCACCTGTGCAGCATAGCTTAGTCCTGTGCAGTGAGTACTGGAGCCCAGCATCGTGTTGTGCTCCTTTGCTGTGCGTGAAGGCCAACCCATGCTCTGCGTGTTGCTGACGGGGGACCCCAGTGAAACAGGATCAGATGTGTTTTGATCACAGCTCATCCCAAGAAAGAGTCACTGCCCTGGCGCTAGCACCAGCTGCTCATCACCCCTTCTCTACCAGGGACATAATCACACTTTCTGATCTGCCAGCACAGCTCCATCTGTAGTCATTTCCTAACTCAAATTCTGTCAAATGATCCAGTTTTTTGGGGAGGCAGCACGGGGGTGTGTGTGCTTTTAAATGGCAGTCAAAGCAGTGCCCACGCTGAGGCAGATCATTTTTGCAAAGCCGAGGAACAGTGAGATGTGCTCTTCTACCAGCAGACCTGAGAGGTCAGCAACCCGTGAGACAGGATCTGCTGCAGGCAGAAAATTGTGTGTGATTGCACCATTAATGAGCTCCTGTTCAATATTCCTTTTTACCATCTTGCTCAAGGCATGGTACCAAACCTTAGTAATGGTGCCACTCAAACCCTGTGGTGGAGACAGAATTACTAATATCCATAACACCCGCCACTCTAATATCACAAATACCCATTTGTTCATTAATTTTAAATGCCCAGTTTGATTTTTTTTTCTTTCAGAAGCTTTAGCATTATACAGCACTTTACTTGACAAAGGAACAACTTATGTTGACTTTTGCTGCAAACATAAGCAGCAGCACCTGAAATCTGGAATGCAGTACATATGAAACACACTTGCTTAAATAAGCTGTCAAACTGTCAAAGCTTGATTAACATCTTATAGGAATTAGAGCAGAACCAAGATACAGCTCTGACAATCTCTAGTCTCTATCCTCAGTTCTTTGTCTCATGCAATACCCAATTGACAGTTTCTACATAGAGTAAGGAACGGGACCCTGGGTATGTCCCAGAGCAGATCCATCCTGTGTCTTCAGCAAAGAAGTGCCCTGAGGGGAAAAGTATGTATGATGATGCAGTTAAAATTGTAGGTCTCAGGGCTGGCAGCATTTTGCAGCCTTAATTCTAGCATTGCCCAAAAAGTAAGTACTTGATATTTTTAAACATTAACAGGAAAAAAAAAAAGGCCATTATTTCCTATGTTTATAAAAACACACTGAAAGCACAGAAGTGTGCTTCTGTTTTCTCTCAGTACTCCAGCACACAGGAGCCTTAATACTGTCCTTGAAGGCATCACCTACTTTAACTAAAGGACAATTTTCATTAGAGTTTGACCATGGCCTGGTGTATCTGACAGGCTCCCACCTGCCATGCACGTTTGTGTATGTGAGTGTGTACACCACCAACACACACACACTTTGCCAGTGGGTTTCAGTGCTGTTTGCTGACACTGTATGAACCAAAGAAATATATGCTGCAAGAGACACACAGAGTCATAGAATCACAGAATTGTTTGGTATGAAAGGACCATAGAGATTATCTGGCTCCAACCCTGTTGCTAAGGGCAGGGACACCTTTCACTGGACCAGGTTGATCAGAGCCCCATCCAGCCCAGCCTTGAACACTTGCAGGAATGGGGCAGCCACTATTACTCTGGGCAACCTGTTCCAGTGCACCACCACCCTCACAGTCAAGAATTTTTCCCTAATATCAGATCTTTCAATCTGAATCCATTCTCCCTTGTCCTGTCACTACATGCCCTTATAAAAAGTCCCTCTCCATCTTTCTTGTAGTTTCCCTTCAAGTACTGGAAGGCCACAATTATGTCATCCTGAACCCTTCTCTTTCCCAGGCTGAGTAAACACACCTCTCTCAACCTTTCCTCATAAGAGAGGCACTCCAACCCTCTAATCATCCTGGTGACCTCCTCTGGACTCGCTCCAGCAGGTCCATGTCCTTCCTTTGCTGGGGACCCCAGAACTGGATGCCAGTGTTCCTGGTGGGGTCTCAGAAGAGCAAGCAGAGGAGCAGAATCCCCTCCCCTGCCCTGCTGGCCACACTGCTTTGGATGCAGCCCAGGACACAATTGGCTTTCTGGGCTGGAAGCACACACTGTTGGCTCATGTCCAGCCTCTCATCCACCTGCACCCCCAAGTCCTCCTCAGCAGGGCTGCTCTTGACCTGTTCATCCCCCAGCTTATCAGGGGTTGTCCCACCTCATATGCAAGACTTTGCTCTTTATCTTGTTAAATGTCATGAGATTTCCATGGGCCACTTCTCAAGCATGTCCAGGTCCCTCTGGATGGCATCCTGTCCTCTAGGCATGTCAACTGCACCACTCATCTTGGTGTCATCTGCAGATTGGCTGAGCATGCACTCAACCCCTTTCTCTGTGTCTTTAATGAAGTTATGAAATACCTCTGGTCCCAGTACAGGCCCCTGAGGGACAGCATTTATCACTGATGTCCATTGAGACACATGCTCTTCTCCTTTTCCTTCCCAAGCTTGACTGATCTGTCACACCCCACTTTGATGTTTCTGCTTTGATTCTTTTCCTTTGGCTCTCCTCAGCCCTATCCATTTCTCCTTGTCAGCTGAATCCTTTCCTTCCTTTGTCCCTTCCTCCTCTGAGCTGGGAATCCCTATCTGAGGCTCTTTGCCAAACTGCACTTTGCCCCACCTGAGTCTCTTCCTCCCCCCAGTCCTTCTGCTTCACAAGCATCCCCTTGCTCTACAGCCTTCCTGCCCCTGATGAATGCTCTGCCTTTGCTGCCTTGCCCAGACAATCCCAGTTCTACTCCAAAGATTCCTCCTAAAAAGCTCCTCAGCCCACCAGAGTACCTCTGTAGACCCTTCATCCAGCTCCAGTCTTCTGCCTT